ACGAATGAAATGAAACGATAGAGTTAGACTGATAACTCATTGAAGCACAAAAGAATTTAATATTAATTGATTTCTGCCTTCTATTTTTGATGTTCAGTTCGTTTCTACTAAGTTGCATTTTGAGTATCCGTTACACGCACGATTTCCATGTAAATATGCGCAGTAATTTTACAGCTTAAGTTGTACTCCACTCAGTCATTTCGTCGATTTCAGAGACTAAGATTTCAGTATCTTCGTTACACTCGAAGTTCTCCGTTTTGAACTGATTCTCTTGATGACATCTTTTTCCAGGATCTTGTGCATGGACCTTCTCCCCACGCTCCAATGGGATGCAATCCTCTTCGAGGAAACCCTATTCACGTGCAAACCGTTAGCATCTACATTACCACAAAGGTCTCAGAATGTCCTTCTCATTAACCATTTCAGCAGGAGTTCAACTGCCGTGCTGCAGCACTTGCAACAACTATGTTAAAGGGGGGTCTGGAAGTCTTGATACTTATGAAGCTACATGTTATATTGACTTTCCGCAGGCAACACCTCTGGTGTCCTTGGTTTTCCCAAACAACCAAGTGTGCGAAAAAGCACAACATATGCAGATCATCCAGTGGCACCATTTTTCAAACGATTCTAACGACCACCTAGGAGCCAACTGTATGGCTTACCAAGTATACTCAGGTCTATCTAGCAAAAGGAAGAATCACCCAATGTCTTAAGTGCATCAAAGGATGTTTTCTCTAGGTGCAGGTTGATATCCCGATGGCCAGATCAAAGGATACCCTCAAAATGTGGTCGCCTCGATAGGTGAACGCTCAATGGGAATAAGCCCCTGGAGCAACAATGTACAAAAAGAAGATATATCTGAAATGGACACCAGGTCATGGGTCTCATCGCCTCACGAAAACTTCGGAGATCATATTTAAGGGAATAAAACGTGTAAACAATGATGAAACTCGGTCACGTGTGAGAATCGAACTAAAAGTTTATTTTATTGCATTTATAACAGTTCAATATTATCACAAAAAACGTGTAAGCAAGCATCGAACATCGAAAGTCAATCCAACCATTAGAACGGATGAAGCGCTTGGTGAACACATTTTTCACAAATCATAACCAAATACTGAAGAAGATTTCAGTAGCCTGGATACAAATCAGAAAATGAATGTGCGGCAGTAACCAAGATTTTGTCGAACATCTGTGAAAGGGAACCGCGTACAGCCGAATATGGTACTCGAGATTTACGCTTAGGAAAGCGCATAAAACATAGTAAACCATGTTTATAAACATGCTGCTGTTGCAAATCTTTTGTTCTTTGCAAACCTATCACTAAATCATGATAGTTTTCAACATCCCCCAGGACCTACACAATCGAGAAGAGACTGTCGGATTATTCAATTCCACTTCCTAGATCGAGTACGGAGTTGCTATCCGTCAGGGAAAACTTCATTTTCCATGAAAATTTCGGCGAATAAAAGGGGCTGACGGGTTTGGAGCTTTCTCTTGGGTTGGAGTTTGTCAAATGTTGTCCAGTGTTACTGGACTGATAGAAACTAAAAAGCCCCCTCTATGGGGAGCAGCTATTGCATACTTGTTTGAGAGTTCGTAAAGTTTCGTGGAAATCTGCAGCGAGTGACGCCCTTAACATCGTTTGATCACGAATATGATCTCATCGACTCAATACACCGCATCTGTTTCCGAGGATTCTGGCTAAACTCGCTTGACTTAGTCCACCTGTTAATTCGGTCACTGGAATGTGGCCGTTGCTGCATGCAGGCGAATTCGTGGAGCCAAAAATTAGAACTAGTTGACTGGTGTGGACCAAAGGGATTTCAGTTCAGCTGGTACAACCATTAACCATACACTTTCGTCCGGATCAAAGGAAAGGAACTATTCTGTAAGAAAATAGGAGCTATAAATGTAACACAGTGCTAGCCAAAAAACCTTGCACCCATGGAGTTAATTCTCTGATTGTCCGATCGGGAATCGTTGAGCAAAACCATTCACGGGCAGGATTCAGAAATGAATAGAGACGCAAGACACTCCTCGACATATACAAGAATTCAGCCCGCTTTACTCTAATCACAAAGATGTTGCAAAATGAAGTAGTGTGAATATGATGGCGATTGCGCCTTAGATGAACTCAGTTTAGTTATTGATTAACGTTGAGTTGGCGATAACTGCTGTATTCACGGATGTCGTTTCCCCCGGAAAATGACTAAGACTCAGGGATCTAAATCGCTGGCAAACGAATAATCTATCGGGTTTGAGTCTTGCGTGGCCTTACGGTCAATCTTAGAGTTAAAAATCAAAGCATTCCCAAATCTGTATCTGTTGAATACCTTGGTGTTACCCTAACCCATAAACTGTCCTGGTCTGCACATGTCATCAGCGTTTTCATAAAAGGTTGAAAACTGCCTTTTTATGCTTACAGGCTCAGGAAACTGGCCGTACCACATAATCTTATTCTCAAATTTGTGATTGCCTGCATTCTACCACACTGGCTATACTGCTCCCCGATTTTTTTTTATCTCTGGACTGAAAGAAAAGGACCACTTTATTTTCGAGATGCCTTAAACTTTTTTCCCGCTAAAGTGGAGTTGATAGAATTGTTTTAATTGATTTCTTTATTTCCAAGCCTCTCGAAGCTTGTGATACCTTCATTGACAGGATAACACGTGATCAAGGGCATTGTCTGTACCAAGATATCGCGAAAGCCCTATCGAATCCCCGAACTCGCACAAAATATCAACTCCTTTCTGCGCGGACTTCCACATATAGAAACAGTGTAATTCCATACCTTGCTCCGTTATTTGTTTATCGTCAGACTATTCTGAAACACCTCAGGGAAAAAATCTTAAACTAATTTTTTTCTATCATTTATCAAAGTGTAGAAATGTTTGTCTCTTTTGTTTGCGATTGGTTTTACCTATCCACAATAAAAATTGTAAATTGCTGAGAATTCACCCTTTGGGTGCATAAAGCGTTTCTAGACTTGACTTGACATTGGTGTGGGCTCCCGCAAAGTATGTCGTGCCCTCAACTCTTAAGCAGCCAATTGGAAAAACCTCTCCCATCTACCTGGTTCTTTCTTTCAATCCCGAATGATCCTAGATGCTTCCTGCTTACGTCATCCACCGGATATCACTCGGCGTTAGGTTTTTCGAAGCCCAAATTTCCTTTTCACTTAGTCGCATACAACGCCGCACACTATCAGATTGGTCAACAAGCTGCCTTAGCTAGAACCCTTGAAACTTTCCATTTAGATGTATGCTGTGTCTCCGAAACACGCATAAAAGACCATCTCTTAATCATATCCCTGCTTTCTCCTGATCCCACCTCATCCTCAAATTTCACCATTCGTGTGTCAGACGTCTCTCCAGGTAGACGCAGCAAAGACGTTTCGAGACACCAAGAGATCTCAAAATTCCAGAAATTAGCGATTTTTAGATGGTATAATTAATCATCGCTTGAAACCGCAATTACGCAATAAAAAGCAATGTTATTTTGCTAGTGATTACTCCAAGCTTGACAGCACTCTCCAACTCCCTCCACCACATTCACCACATTGATTGAGGCGGTTCACGCTCATATCAAATTATGTCATCTAATTGAACCTTAACCCCAAACCAACCCGAACTCACTTGGCCACCGACGCGGCATCCAAATGACTTATATCAACTCCTATGCCTCTTTGACATGATCGTATACATGTGCATTTACAGCTGAATGAAAGCACGCGAAAGTGATAGGTATTATCGGTTCTACTCACATGTCTTCTTTTGTTGATGAAATAGATAGAGAGAAGAGGATGTTTCGCTATATGGGCATAATTGTTGCACTTGGCACCAAACATACCATGAAAAGTAAGAGAGCTACTGAGTATGAAGTGCGTCAAACCTGATTATTCATTTGTTTAATAACCACCGTATACATTATGGTCAGTCGGTATCACCATACAACGAAATACGGCGGAGTTAAGTTCGTTGACCATTGCCAAGTTTAAAAAATGCAACCATTGAATAAGAATGTGCAAAGCGAACAGGGAGTAGATCCAGATTGGTGAAGGGGAAAAGGAAATGAAAAATCATGAGGCAACAAGGTCGAATTATGCAAACACAGAGACTTTCTGATAATCGAACTTTGAAGCAGAGATAGTCTCCGACTAGCGTCACAGCAATGATGATGTTGCCCAGCCTGGCTACGAACCGTCTGCGAACAACAAAAGGATGAACCTATTTTGTTCTTATACAGATTATTTTAACGTAATTTGTTTGATACATAGTCTGAATGCAGAAAAAGATTTAAAAATACAAACAATAGTAAAAAGATTGCGAGATCCACGTATTTTAGCAGAGCTTCTATATTAACATGTATATTCAAGGAACCCATCATTTCGTTTCAAGATTCTGTTTACCAACGTAAAAAGAATCTTGATTCTTAACATTGCATGAATGGACGGTGATCTTCAATTCCATTACTCATTGACTACAGGAGTCAGGTGTGTAGTTGTTATTTTATTGGCGAGTGCACAAAATGAGGAAGACACGGCGGCACCAGATTTATTAATGGGGAAATGCAATCGAACAATCCCAAAACGGAGTATGGACGTTTTGATTGTTCTAATGCTAATCGCCTCGATAAAAATAAACTCGTAGACAGATTCAAAAGGACGAATGACAAGTCGCAGACAAACACACGCACATACTCACTTCATCATCACTCAATCCGCACATATAAACTGTCCCGTCCGGCCGGGGATAAACTTCCGGTGAGCACGCTCGACCGGGACCATGATAGTCCATGAAAAGGCAGGTGGCGCCAACCACTGGTTTGGATGCAGCGGCTTCAGCACACGGACGAATTACTACCCCGTGAGCCCGATGACCGCGAAATCGACGACTGGGCAAACAACGCGGAGGTAGCCAGCCAGTAGATGTGCCCGACCATGGTCCGGTTGCCAACAAAACACAAGAAGCGGGCAATATCTTTTCTTTTGCATCAGGCTCATCTACGGGAACGATACGAACTCCGGTCACCTGAGGAGGATCATTATGATCAAACTCAAGGCCAACAGCGCGAGCCAGTTTGAAATTAGTAGCATTCTGAGATAGTTGCTGGGCTTGTTTGAATAATTCATTGGTGAGCAAGCCTGGGTGAACCTATGTAAAATGAAGAAGGGATGAGTTTAGCGCGTGGTAAGTTGACGCTGGAATAACAGCTCTTAGTATCGGATGATGACGGCAAGTAACTGGAACATCACTGGAAACGAGACATGGCCAGTTTGCTGTATAGGATGCACACCTCGACCAACACGAGTACTAATCCCTTTACCGGGGTATTGTATTTTTATTTTTAACATAAAGTTGGGGGGGCTTTGTTTAGAAAATGGGCTTCCTATCCGTATACACATGAACAGATGACTGCAATCGTCTTTGGGTTGAGTCAAATATACAACCCCGTCGAAGGTTTGCATTCGATATCGTGGTTTTACTCGGGAACAAACGAACCCGACGGCGATTAACCTCTGGTGGCCGGATGAGAACCGGAGTTGGGTTTAAGATAAACATCAATCAATTATAATGATCCATAATTTCCAATCACGGATTGTTTCTGTAGTAGCGTAGATAAAATTTCGAGACTGGTACTATTCTGGGCAACCAGTGATACCGATACACCGGTATATTTGAATGAATCCTGTCATCGTGAATTGTATTTAGACCAGTGGTGGATCGCGTGTTTAACAAACTGTCACACCGCCTTGCGGCAGAAGCTTTGGTTAGTCGAAGGTGCTGATTGTGAATACCCCAAGAAAGTTTGGCCTGGGTAGCCTTTAAGTATTACACTCGTGATTCGTTCGGTAAAGCCTGGACTCAGATAATTGTGGAATATACAATATATTTGATAGAAGACGGCTAAAGCAGGTCATTTTATGAATTCCGTTAAATGTAGAGATACCGAGAGCTCCGCAAAACTTTCACTTATAATGATAAACACCAAGTGTTAGGACTGGCGCAATCAGTAACTACATTTTTACATTTGTCTATTTTAATGTAAATTCATTCATTTCTTACATACTTTCCGATTCGGTTTCCCCAAGGATAGTAAAACTAACGACACTCAAGTGATGATTAGTGCAATTTGTGCTAGGTGGAACATTCTTCAACAACAACCAAAGTTAGCCAACAGTTATTTAAATATCAAGCTAAGAACAGCAACAAAAACCTACAATATTGACATCACTATCCTAGTGAAGTTTTAGAGAATTCCCGGACAACTTATAAAAATAGGCACTTAACGAAAAACTGAATCCTCTTAAATATCTGGAATGTTTTTAGGCTTCTTCCCCTCCGCATCCAACTGATTTTATCTCTTTGAATAACGATGTTCTGTCGAGGTAGTTATTTTCAGATGAGAGTTACATATTCTGCATCGCGCCAGAAACGTCGACCCCCCTCCATTTAAATTTGCAAACTTCAGCGGTGGTCTAACTCGCAGCTAGCCATTCCTGAATTCGTCTTTCAATGAGCTCTTCTCGTGATTCTGTAATGTTCTCCTGCAATCAATCTCGGTCTTTTGAATCCAGAATTAAAAACTCTAAGCGAAATCTCAGCAAATATTAGTTGCATTTTATCCCTCACCAGTGATGTTCGCTTTCTGAACTCGTTTTAGTTTCAGAATCTGGTGGGTCAGCCGGACGAGAAATGCTGAAGGTACGCGTAGAGTTTTTGGTAACCACGGTCTCCCACTGAAGCAAGTGGTCGATCTCCATAAATTACGTTGGTTGGGGCATGTTTTACGCATATCACCAGATAGGTTGCCACGACGAGCAATGTTCGCCGAGGCAGGTAGTGGGTGGAACAAAGCCAAGGGTGATCAAGCTAAGACCTGGCAAGAGGGTATGAAAACCCTAACAAGGAGTCTGAGTCACATAGGTCCCGTTAAGCTCCCTGAATGGGGAAATCGGGATAATCGTAAACGATGGTTAGAGACACCGAGTGATGTGGCTGGGTGTCGTAAACAGTGGCGTTCGTGTATCTTCTCAATTTTCTCGCAACATTATACCACTGAAATTCTTCATTTTCTATTCGACTCTACTTTCAACCTTCCTGTCTTTTATTCTTCACCCAAATGGGCAGCCAAAAGACAGCAGCCGAAACCGGCGCACGATAGTGCATGGTTAACAGTTTTACAAACAACAATTAACCATGCACTGTCGTACGCTGGTTCTGGTTGCCCATTTGTTTGTTCACTTTTAGTCTACAAAATCTTTCAGTATCTCACCTAGTCAACACACCATGACATACCACACTAGTGCTCTCATTGATCCAACCGCTTCGGAATTTTTGCACTCGCCCACTAAAATAAATCTAAACAAAACTTCCTTGTCCCCCATTTGGATCGAGGTTCGATGAGCAGAGAGCTTATCATCAAGTTTAAATATTAATTTGAAGTTGTATCCGTTCACCTGCTCGCTTCTGATATTGCTAGGATCCGATTATTTTTCTGGATTATTTGTCACCACTTTTACAGCATATCTGGCTGAATTGTGAGCAAAACAATTGTAGAAGTCATTCACAAGAATACAACCAGTCATTATTGTATACAGTTCTTTGAAACCGCTTGTGGTTGAATACAAAGTAACCATCAGTTCTCACGGAACTTTCAGTCGATGAAGTTCAGTCAGCACAACAGCATGCATTCTTATACTGTTCAATTGATTGCACTAAACTGCCCCCCCCCCTCCAAAAAAAACGACATTCCAGGTTAATGAGCAAGCGTATTGTCTTTTAGGCGGCATTTCAGATCTCAGTGCAACTACGCCGGATAGGCTTCCAGTGATTTGGGTTATGGTTTTTGTATAATCGCCCATTAACTTCAAAACTGATAGGTGGAACAGATGATGCAGTTTTCAGTCAGTACACTGAACTTAGACATCCTTACCTGTTGCGACTCACAGGCTGATGTTCTAGAGATAAAGAATACCTCCAAATACTAAAACGATAGACATAAATAACATGAAGTATACCCCGCGTTTCTGTAGCTAATTGTACAAAAACGTGAAACCTGCGCAACGAAATGATTTTTCTTATTGAACCTATCGCTAGGAACTAAGTAACGTTATCTCCCTTTCTATAAAAATGTCTGTTGACATCAATTTTCAAACGGATAATGAGGAACCCTGGGGGGGGGGTTCGAATGCTTGAGAAAGAATCCTCAAACACACGTTGATAAACCTCGGAAACGCTGCAGAGGCATTTCATCCGTGTTGGGAATCATCCGCAGTGAATATTCGATAGACCTTTGACAGCTAGAATTCCGGCGTGGAGGGCTAATCGCGATTGGTTCCGTAGTTGATTTCTTCGTTAGTACTGCATGAGGCAGCGCTCACCTGTTTCTGTCTTTGATTGTAGGTTATCATCAGTTGATGTATGATTTCGCTTTACGAATGAGCAAGCTATGCCGAATTTGAAACTATCTTGGTTGAATTATTGAAGCAATAAGAAACTGAGTGTTACGGAAGATATGAACGAGGGTCATTTGAAATAGATGGATGATCTTCCGTGATATTTTATCAACTCAGTAAGTCACTTTTTACTAGTTACCTGTGCCGTCGTATCCGGACTGCCCATTCGCGAATACCGAGACACTTTAGCTTGAATCCATTGCGGTCCCTTGACCGACTTGCCTGGATCACCTGAAAACCGAAATCACGAGCAAACAGATGTTTCCGGAGGCGATGAGTTCAGAGGTGAATAGTGTGATAGAAATGCAAACGCATACCACATACCTGGAGTTACGTCGATAGAGTATGTTTCCACACGACGATATCCACAGACATCCCCGAACTGTTGGAACAATTCCATGTGCAAATCAAAGCCGAAACGAGCCAATATGTCCATCTCGTAGTGTGAGCACCAATCTCGGGCAAGGAACCCACCAGCTCGGCCGGAGGCTGCAGGGGCTATGCCACAACAATCAACTAGAGTGCAAGGCAGACCGTGTTTAGCCAAGAAGTAAGCCGTTGAAACGCCCATTATACCGGCTCCGATAATCACAATGGTCATATTGATGCGCGAGAAGTACACAGCTGAAAAGCAGAAGTGATCAAACAGTGCACTATTCATACCCTTAGTATTCACGCGAATTAATTTTCAAATAAGGGAGACCAACAAGTCACGAAGAGCTCTAGTAATCATCTAAACAACTATGCAACTTGTACCTCCACGTACTGCTTTTGCAAACTGCTTTCGGCTACCAGTCCGGTCGATCAGCGGATATATATTCACACACATCTGAGTTCAAACAAATCACTGTACAATAATCTTTATAGAAAGAAGAGATCCATTATCAACGGAGTAAACTTAAATGAAAAGCTGAGAGCGTTTCTCCAGCTACTTACTCAAATACCAACAATTTGTATTGAATTACTCGCGATATAACAAAACAGAAATCACAAAGTTGAGTATTCTTGACTGATACGGTAAGCGGTTCTCTTCAAGCTAATTACATAGTTGACCCGTATACTGTTGACCAAAATTTTGCGAAGCAGTGACAGTAAAAACCTTATGCACCTATGGGGTTAATCTAATGCAACAAAACTTATCCCGTTTTGCAATAAAAACAGGACTTCATTCAGATAGGCTAAAAAGAATCCGGGCTAAAACGTTAAGGTGGGATACGGGGTAGTGGATTTTAACGCAAGCATCGGTTTTGGGCCGAAAGGACGTACCAGGGGGGAGGGTAGCAAAATCAATCAAGAAATCGCTTCATGTATTTCGACAGATGAACTCTCAGCAGGTGAAAAACTGGTGATGAAAGACCAGCACTTTGAGGACAAAATCGAAATGGGAACGCAAGTGATATAAGGAATACCTTTTGCTGTTCACACCACGAATGTTTGGTAGAGCTGAAATGATGAGTTTGGGGAAACCGAAAATCCACCCAAAAGCTTGAAGTGGAAATTGAAATAGTTATAAGCGAGCGAATGGGAATCTAATCACCTTGCAAACAACTACGAATAACAAGCAGCAATGTTCAGACTGCTGGTGGGATCGAGACACCTCAGATTTTATCAACTCTAAGTTATTAACTATCTCCAAGAGAACGTCCACTGCAACCGGGTGGTCCAAATTTACCATCGCGGTTGCTGTAGAATTAAAAAGTTTACTATAGAAAACGGCCAGCTAGATTGCGTCCTCTGATACCTAATGCAGTGTGCAAAATTTCACCGTTATGAATGCATCCGTGAAATACTCAGACCACACCCGACTCCCACAAACTTGTATCTTTAATCGAATGAAGAAGATCAGGATTATTATTAATCACCGAAACCGTTTCCATTCTTGCACTTTTCGCAATTCACCACAGTTAGCAGCCACTGATCTGTTTTCTGCACAACTGCTGTCTAAGGGATTAGGATGTCGTTGCAAGTCTCACACTCGACAGAACGGACCTGGGGGTGCCTTGAAATGAGAGTGGAATTAGAGAAGTTCATCGGTTGCGTTTAGGCATCTCGGCGAGGCCGATTTGGGCAACAAAGAGAGAAAAAGATCGCTCAACTGGTCCCTAATCAAACCACCGGAACAAACATTGTCTGAAACAGGTTCCATTGAAAAGTTTATCATCGGTTGTCTTTAGAGTGGCGAGAAACCGGACAATTGAATTCAGACCGTCGCATTGAAACTAGGGATGTATTTAGACGCACCTTTGGAACCGTGAAAGCATGTGACTGTTTGGGAGTGCAATAAATAATAATTGAGATAGCTTCTGATCACTCGACAAAAAGGACAATGACTGTGGTATTTCGTCTTGACACGTTCCGTTCTCAAATTGATCGCGCATGGCTGATCGATTTTCGTCCAGGATAGCAGCAATGTCTGAACTGATTCTCACTACGATCATACATAAGGTTTTATTCGTCAGAAGTGAATCGCATCGGCAGTCGATAGCATTCGAAGCCGCATCGCCGTGTGGGTGTGCGGTCGGACCCGGTGACTGAGAGAAAGTTGAACTGGGATCGATTGGGCGACCTGATTCTACCGAGTGGCCTATAATTGCACTGTGATCCAGTGTCTACCGTTTTGTGATCATTGCACTTTATGATTATTTAGCTGTCTTGTCGTACGGCCAGCATCTATAGCACAACACACGCACCCGAATTAGTAGACAAGCATGGAAGAAATAAAAATAGACAGCTTATCTTTGTTTGATATCAGATCACGGGAAAGTAGAGAACGCACATCAATTTCGAGGTACTGAACGCAGACATCAATATCGCAGTGATAGTCCTTTTTTCAGCGGCTGTGAGCCCCCNATAATAGCCTGATACATGAAGTTTTCTCGGTTGTCGGGGTTTTATCCCGATTCTTTGGTCCGTTCCGGCGGTGATAAATAAATTTATCCGGATAGCCGTTTTCCGACAATGTTTTCTTTATTGATTTGAATTTACTATCCTTCGGACTTCACCTTTACGCACAATCCTCAGTTCATTCAGCCAACCATACACTTGGAGACACTAAACTCGTTTCGCTTTTACTAAGGCTTATCAATAGTGCGTAGCCACGGTCCCGTTCCGGCCATAAACTCTGGGCCTATCGCACGGAAGGTGTGTGATACCAGCTCACACCAGGACTGAACCGAATTGCCAATTCATGTTTCACATGTATCGTCTCCAGTGATAGTTGGTCAGTTAATATAACATACCAATATATTATATATATATAAAAAATAAATATATAACATATCCAACACCACTACTCACAAATAACTGAGTTGAATGCGAGTTCTCTTTATTAATGTCAGTTTCTTTTCTAACGCGTATTCTTAGCAAATGGGTATCATCCTATGGGTGAGACCTACCAAATCAGTTCGAAACTGAGAAAGTTGACCTTCCGATTGGTTCATGTGACTTTGCGAAAGTTTCCTCGATATAGAGTTATCTGAACGCCGGCATAATTCAACATAAAAAAAATGGTAGACGACCCTATTTTTACAGCTCCTGTACCAAATTTACAGTTGAATGTGCAAAGCTGAAAGACTGAAATTTTGTCGGTCACAGAAACATTATCTACAGACCGGTGATAGANAAGTCAAACAACCAGAAAGTTGTTTGAATGCAGATGATTCCAACTTTGTTTGGTTGAATGTTACTTAAAAGGCTGAAAGGGTTAGAGAAATTACAAGTCGTCTTGAACACCACTACAACAAAGTGTTCTTCCTAATTCTACCGAAAGTCATCGACCTTGAGGATCGACAGACTTCTCAGGTACTTCATCTCTAAACAGGCAGTTGAGACAAAATTTCGCGATCTCCAGGTAGGCTTTTATTAATTTCACGTCTCATTAAAAGTCGTGCTACGTTATGTTCGCTGCCGGTCGAAAGTCACCGGTGTATGTCGAGAAGGCGCAGAGACTCAGCAGAGATCCAGGGTGTCACGACGAGATGTATCAGACCACAATTTGCCAACAGAATGGATATCATTCTTGATAAGCGACCAGTGCTAACTGATATTAACAGATGGAGTTGATACTAGCTGGCGCGTCTGACGGCACACTGATTCATCATCAGTAACGCCGTCTCAAACGATGGGCAGAACATTACAAGACACAGTCAAGCTCGTCCCCGTCGACATGAAACCTCTATATCTGCTTCAGCTGGGCAAATACTGCCAGTAGATATCAGTTCTCCATCGGAAATGGAGGTTACATGAGAAATAAGTTGTCTCAAAAGGCATAAGGTCCCCGGCCCAAACGGGATATCTCCATCGGCTTTTAAGGATGGAGGGTCTGCAGTGGTTTCGGATTTGACGAAACTCTGGAGGACAGTGTGGTAGAAGGAACAGGTTCCAAATCAATAGTGTGAATCGGTCGTCCTGCCGACTTACAAGAAAGATGACAGGTCGTCTTGTGAAGACCACAGAGGAATTAGTTAAATCAACATCATCTCTAAACTCCTCGCTGGTATTATACTCCGTCAATTGTCTGCCGCACATGAACGGTGCACGCGTAAGAAACCGGCTGGTTTTTGACCTGGTTGGGGTTGTATAGACTACATTTTCACCATTCGACAAAGTTTAGAACAGACAATCCTTCCGTAGACTAACCACTTATATCTTCCTCGATCTGAAGACAGCTTTCTATTCAGTCGACCGTTTTGAACTCTGGCATTACATCTGAACCGAAAACCAGAGAAGTTTATTTCAATATTACGATTCCTTCACAGCCAAAGTCGTGTCTGAGCCTACGGCATATTTTCGCCCGAATGCACCACAGAAAGTGGAGTTCGACCGGGTTTCCCTCTCTCCCCGATTCTATTCAACTTTTTCTTCGATTTAATTATTAAAGCAGCCCTATTCCCGTGCGAGGATAGTGGTACTGATTTGCCCCAAAGTGGTAGACTGTCTGGTCGGGAGTATGCCGACGACACTGTGCTGTTAAGTGAAGATCCAGGTACGCTTTAACCACGATCATCCACTGGAACACACGGTCGACCTCCATAGATTACGCTGGTTGGGATATGCATCGCGCATGTCACCAAATAGGATGCCACGGGGAGCGATGTTTGCCGAGGCAGGCGGCGGATGGAAAGAGATCAAGGGCGATCAAACTAAGACCTGGCATGAGGGTATGGGAACCTTTAACTAGGATACTGGGTCATATATGTACCGTTAGGCTCCGTAAATGGGAACTTCGAAATCATGGTAACCGGTGGTTAGAGACGCTGAGCGATATGGCTAAGTGTCAGGAACAGTGGCGCTCGTGCACCCACTCATTATCTTTGTTACCTTAATCCATGTAAGTTCTTGATCTTCTTTGACTCTGCCCGCAACACTCCATTCTTCCGTCTGCTCTTCTGTCGAAAGTGCACCCAAAACCGGTGCATGACAATCCATGGTTAATGGTTGTAAAAACTGAAACTGCTCTGTTGCTGAAAAGCTCCTGACCTCTTTCTACACACGTAAGTGTACCGGTGGGTTGGTGAATCAGTTGAAAGCGCGAGGGGAAAAACCAAGACGGTCATGAAAGCTAGATCGATAGAGTACACCAAACCGAGCTCTTGGGATAAC